CCAATGTACGGTAGCCATATCTTTCTGGGACTGGTGGCTAAGTGGAAGACCTCATCCCTTAGTAATAAGGCAGGCTTATTATTCTAGTCCACTAATGTCTGAACCAAGTAGGAAGGTAGCGGTCCGAAATGTTAAAGCGCTTAAGGTTCCTTTGCAAGGACTAGCTCTACTAACTGAAGAACTCAAAAGAGTTCTTCAGACTCGATCAAAGGATGACTACCCAAGAGGCAAGTGAAGGACTGGTTGGCATAGGAATCCTCAGGGAAAGGTTCCAGGTGGAGCAAAGGGAAGTAGGTCATTGTTTACAACTTCAAAAAACCAGACGAGCCCATGGAAGTTGCTAAAGGGCTTCTTCATCAGAGACTCCCTCATGCTGCCATATAAATGGCACAAAAACATAATCCCAGGGCTATCTGGTTACCGTAGAGGAGGGACTGGGCGATCCGCAACTATAGCTGCACGGGCTTCTCTCCCCTTAAGGCTAAGATCCATTGGCTCAATAGGATCTAAATGAAAACTAGGTGCTCTATAGGGGTAACGGGCTCATCAACTGACTTCTCAGAGAATAGCTCCATAATTTTCATGTAGGAGCCAACACCCCTAATCTTGCTCTCCAATTCAGCAAAGAGGGTGACATAGGAGTCATGCTTCTTGAGGATTGTGTATAAATTTTCCTCCTCGGTGACAGGCAGCCCCAGGTATATAAAGACATCTCATAATGTGATTGACATGGAACTTATCTCGAAAATGAAGGCATTGCAACTTGGAGCTAAAGAACTCAAAAGGGCCATCAGTAGGTTAACTAGAATGTCAACATTGACCAAGGAAAGCTAGATAAGGTCATAAAGACCTATCTCCTTCTACTGATGCACATAGGTCTGCTTTAAACGTCTCACCTAGTTGACCTAAGCACGAGAGACCAGGGCCAATTTTGAAGCTTCCAGCAGGATGACTCGAGGAAGGATGAGGTTGTCCGGGCTAGAATCAAATTACAGACTGAGGTCAGCGGCCATAGATTTAGCTGAGTAGGAGCCGTCACTTCAAAAAGTTCAGGAGAGATAGTCAAGTACCCGACGTCACTTTTGTTAGAGATTTGGAAACTCTAAGGAGAAGTATTGAGAAAATAATGAACAGTCAATATTTTTATCCTAATAAAATAGAAGGGCAAAATAAAAAGTGAATAGCTTACCAGAAAGTGACGGAATCATGACATGAAGAATCCTCCTATAGTGAAAATAAAGAAATATTAGAATAAGGACCTAATCTAAGGGAAATAAGGGACTTTGGCAATTAAATATGTATTGTCATTAGTCCTCTGAGTGAGGCGACATGATTTTAGATAGTAGCCAGGAATCAGGCAAACTTTCAATAGATGTGGAAGATGGAGCAACAGTAGAAGTAGTGGCAAAAGTAGAGGAAGCCATTTGTAAGCAAAGTGGAGATTAGAGCAAAGGATGCAAAAGCTTGAAAGTCAAGAAACGGCAAAATGGGCAAGAGAAGTGACCAGAAAAAGAAATAAGTTTATGTTAACAAAGGATGCTCAGAGATGAAGCGACGTTTCAGTTTTTTCAAATGTGCCACGTGGCTTACATTATCAGCCACTGGCACATGGGGGTATTTTTTGGCTAAAATATGAAATGTCGCTCAAATAGGTCATAAGGCTATTTGGGCTGAGTAACTAAAGAGTTAGGCCCAATCTAAATAAAAGGGTCGGCCCCGAAGCTCATTAAAAGGCCATGATAAAATAAACATGCTGAAATCCTGCCAGTTGCAAACATAGACCATTGGCATATTAAAAACATGGTCTCAAGTAATTTTGGAATCCCTGGACATTATGCCTAAGTACCTCGGTGAGACAGGCTAATTACCAAAAGTAGATAATACTGAGTAAAGACCGTGCTATAAGTTTTGCAAGATCCTTGATTCTTTGGCAAAACGTTCTAGGTCTTAAGGGGAAGGTTACCACAACTCTGACATTATAAATAAAAGATGAAAATATTGAAGAAGGAAGTCAACACTCAATCAAAGACTTGCAGTTTACACCTTTAGCTTTTAGTTTTAGCATTTAGATTATCTTCAATTTAGACTTGTAATCCTTTTACATTTCAATAAAAAAACTAAAAACACTTGTTCTACTAAGCCTTGTGTATCTTTTACATCTGAGTGAACTGTGATAAGGAAGCTTGAGACTTTTTCGTTATCAATTGAGACTCAACGTCTCTGGCACGCTCGATATTTATTATTTAAATGATGAATAGTCTTTTATCAACAAGTATTTATTTAGGTTTTAATAATAACTCCTTCTAAATTAACAACAATCTATTCAAGCTTTTTTCATTTGAATTTTGACAACAACTATTCCTTGATTGATATAAATTTCCTCCAGTGGTCCTTCATTGCTATTTTCTCTTTGAAAAATGTTACTTGTGAATATATGGAATGCCAATTGTGAATGAATGTAAATAGTCTTAATTGTAAATCAATTGTAAATAGACTTTCTATAAATCCACCAGTGACTTTTCAAAAATTCACTAGTGATAATTCTTTTTAAATTTACAAGTAATGCTATATATCAATTCTCAATTGACTCTCCTTATATTCACAAGTGATCTTCTTTAAATTTACAATCAACTTTCTTTAAATTCATAAGTGACCTTCTTTTGATTATTCCAATAACTAGAAATATTTTAATTGCAAATAAAGACCTTGTGATTCATTTTTGGCATTTCAATATCTAATTTTGAGATTTTTCAATTGTCATTAATGCCTTTATAAGATTTTTAATTGTAATTTTTCCAAACTTATTTGTGGACTTATGTATGGAAACTAATGAATGAGTTATGACTTGTGTTATTTAACTTTGTGTGTGTGTGTGTACATATATTATGTAGGGAGAATTATGTATATATAAGTCCAGATATATCCAAAAATTAATTACTTGCAAATCCTTTCAACTTGTAAATACTAAAATTTAATACGTGAACATAGAAATTTGAGTTGTACTTCAATGGATTGAAGAAATATTTAATTTTTTATTTAACATCTTATTGCAATTCTTTCTATCATGTATTATGTAACTTTTCTAAAATTCTATGTTATTTAAATTTTATATTAAATATTGAATGAATATTAATTGAAGAGAGGAGACCTTCCATGAACTGACTAGAAAGTCCTAGTCAATAAGACATTGATATGTCAATTAGACATTAACAGATAGTCATTACTCTTTACAACTAATATATCTACTGGATTCAAGAAAATTTGTTAGGATATGACTTTATACATACTGCATCGACTTGCCATATAATATTACAATATTTATTTAACCTTATTTATACATCACTCTTAGCATTTTTATATGAATTAAGAAAAATCTTAAATCTCGTTAACTCTATTTTAAAATTTAATAAGTTTTCACCTTTACTCTTAATAAAAACAATAAAAATTATTTTTAATAATTTTTTCTTGCAATTAATAATTAAGGATAGAAAGGTAAATATAAATATAAAAAATAGTAAAGTATTTTATAAATATGACTCAAAATTAATTTTCTTTCTTTGCCCTGAAAATAGGGTTAGAAGAGTATCTAATAAAATAAGTCACGTCGTTTAAACTTTTATATGAATTTAATATTGTATAATAAAATTATACATGTACTGTAAGAACATAGGAATTTAAATAAAATTAAAAATGATGATAAAGAATCATGAACCTATTTTTATTAATTTTTGGAATACATACGACAAGAAGGAAATATGGTCTAGTGGCGATTGTGCTAGCAAGGTAGTGTCGTGGACGCGCATAAACCCAAGAGGCAGATAGATCAAGAAAGTGGGCGGTGAGACATGGGCTACAAGTGGCATGAAGGTGGTGCGCAAATGGAGGTACACAAAAGCACGCGTGGGAGGAAATTCACGTGGAAATCATGTGAGCTAGAGGACGAAGAGGCTATGTAATGCGCGGACGCGAGAGGATGAGGTATGATTGTGGTTATTGGGATTTGCTTTCGGCGTGATGAGCGCTACGTGCTAATTAAGTTTAAGATTAATTTTCACCCTTCATTTCAATCAAAATTAATTTTTATCATTTATTTAAATTAATTTTTAAATATTTTTAATATTATATTTATTAATATAAAAAATTTAAAATTTTTATAAATTTATTCATTATCAATCTGATCAATATAGATTTAATTTAGCAGTCCAATTTAATACTAATTTTTTAATTTTACAATTTGACTATCTAAATAAACTCTAGATAATTCAGATATAATTTAGATGATTTAATTTAATATTAAAAAATTATAAATTATACAAATTAACCATTTAAATGTATTTTAAATAGTCCAGACTTAATATTAAAATTTTTATATTTTTATTTTAATAAATATATATTTAAAATTTAATTTAAATGGTCAGTAGGAATTAATTTAGCCTAAAATGAAAGGCCACGATTGCTTCTGATCTTGATGAGCATTTGGATGCGGATGCGTGATTATTGTGAATCTCCTTTTGACATTCTCTTTCCTCTCTAGGTAGATTACTTTGCATTTTTGCTTTCCATTATTTGTTGCTTACTCACTCCATTTTTATATATAAGATATTTTTAATTGAATCACATAAATAAAAAAATTAGTTATTTAATTAAAAGCATAGCAACATTTAATTTTATCCCTAATTATGTAAATAAAAAATGAAATGTCTTTTTTCAAAGTAAATTAACGAGAGTACTTAATTTTTTTTTTAATTTAATAAGGGTATAATAATTATTTATTAAAAAATATATTAATAACTCTTTATATTTAAAAAAAATTTTTAAAAAAATTTTTTATATATAAAACGTAAGGAGTGTGTTTGTTGTATTAGTGACTCTGATTGCTGAATTGATCTCCATTATATTTCATCCTTTTCATCATGCACCTTATTTTATTTGAGTATAATATTGTGCCTGTGACAGTTAATCATCAGTCCCGAGTTCGAAACCTCTGCGAGCAAGAGAGGGACATTTATTTTTGCTTTTTTTTTTTGTCTGATCCAAATTACCTTAATGCCCTCCTAGTAATTTCTTTTTTTTTTTTTTCGAAAAACAGAGAACAGGGAACACCAGGTATTTTCGAACCCCTTTCATTTGGCTGGAGCAGGGTTAGAAGTGCGCAGACGCGCGCGCGCAGAGGGAGGGAGGGCTTGGTTTTCGTTGAGCATTTTTCCTCCTCCTTTTTGTTCATCTGTCGCCGGCAACGATGTGTATGCCGGTCGTCCGCCGCTGTGGTGATTCCGTGAAGTCCGATTTCTTCATCATCTTCCCCTGCTTCGCACGCCTTTGTTCATCTTCTTCCTCCTCTGTCCGAGCAGCGGTCTGGATGCGCAGGAAATCTCCTTCTCCTGTTCTCTCTATTGCTAAGGCGTCCTTCATCAGTCTCTCCCTCGGCTACTCCTTCCTTTTCTATCCTTGTTTCCGTGCGGATGTGCGATGGACCTTCTTCCTTTTTCAATGGTTGTACGACTAGCTTCTTCTTCTTGCTTCTTTCGCTGCTGATTGAAGGTGAGGATATTTGAACTCCCTTCTCCGTGTTGGTCCTATTGGTGCGTGCTTTTTTTAAATTTAAGAGATTATGATTTTCCCCTTGCTTTGCTGCTGTGTATGTTCGAACAGAGAAGGGGTTCAGGGGAGCTGGAATTTTCATGTTTTTAGAGCTAGATGTTGTGTGGATTTGAATTTTATTTAAGCTTATTTTAAATTCAGTTAAAAGAATGAAATTTAGAGAGATTGGTTAATTTAAATATTGATATTGAGAAATTTTGGAAAGGATATTGAGGAAGAAGATGCTTGGTACTTATTTGAATTTAAATGCATGTGAGATGTTTGATAAAATAATTGAAAGGAAGTTGAAATTAAAAATAAAGATTTTGAAGAAAATATTTTCATTAATAATTCAAATATCAATTTCTATTTATGTTTTGATCTTTGAAATATCTATGGAATGTTATGGTAATGTTTGGGGGATGTTTGTTGGATTGGTAGCAAGCCTAATGAAAATTTATTGTATATTATAAAGAGATTAAAAGAGAAAACTACTTGTTATATATTATGGGTTAAGCAATGGTGCCTATAACATATTTAAAAAAGTGTTTGTTAGAATGAGTTTTGTTTGGCTATAAATGTTCTAAAATCTCATTAACTTTTGCCAAACTTGATAATAAAGGTTTGTGTTTCAAATCATGGTACCATTAGTTTGGTTGGGGTTAGTTATGTTTAATTTAATTAAAAAAAGAAGAAATTTCTTTAACTTTTATAAGGACATATTTAGTTTGGGTGTCAATTATCCATGGATTTAATTAGAGTTTTGTGAAGAATTTTTATTGCAAAGCTACTGGAAGACAAATTGGATTTTGGAAAATTGCATGATTGATTATTATATGATAATGTTGTTTTGAGACTTGATTTTGGGAATGCACTTAAGATGCTCAATAAAATGGGTGATAGAAGAACTCTAAAATTTTAGCGAGATTAAAGGTGGTGTATATATATACAAGTTTGGCTTCATATATACATGAGAAGAGTTAGATAAAAATGAAGTGTTAAATAGAGGGATACACACACACACACACACACATATATATTAGGCATAGTAGAGATTGGAGGAGTTAAGGCATAAATTATATTTAGTTGAAAGCTTAAGTGATTATGGTGTTGTTTATATTGTAAAAGAGTTGATTAAACTTGAGTAAAGATCATTGACTTATCTTTTATATTGAATAAGATGTTTAGAAAAAGGAAGACTTGACTTTAAAGAGTGAATTTGTACTTAGGGAATACTACAAGTAAGTGAATATAATCTCAATTGATTTATAAGCTAATTATATTTTATCATGTATTGTTAAAGTTTCACAAGCTTGTTAATATAACTTCACTTTTGTTATTCACTATTTTGAAAGGAACTACTTTCATTTTATTAAGCTTTAAAAAGGAAAGATAACACTGCTTTATGATTTGGTATTTTTAATTATTTGATATCATTGATAATGTTTGATTTATGAGTTGGGAAATGATTTATCAATATGATTTATGCAAGCTTGGTTTCTGTTGTTGGATTGATTTCAGAATGATGGTTGTTAATAGTAGTTTCATTAGTCCTTAGTGCACCATAGTTAAATCCTAGCTAGCTTAGTATTTGTGAGTATCATATTCATGTTTGTTATTCATGAGTTTAATACTCGCACTTGTTATTTGTGGGCTTCATGCCTGCGCTTGTTTTGTGGTTTTCCGCCGTGCTTGTTGGTTATTTATTTGTGTTGATTGTGTTTTCATGCTTGTTGGTTAATTACTCTCGTAGATTGTGTGTTCATGCTTGTTCATCATTCTGATAAACTCCTGTTTAAAAAAAATGTTTGGAATTATTCATTTATTATTTTTTAAACAAATTGATTTGTAAACAAAACTGTTTTTTTTTTCTATTATTATCGATTTTATAATAATATAATTTGAAAAGCTCCAAGCAGATGTTTTAACATAAAATGAAATTCGAACACCATGCCATCATTATTTGAGTTCATCCGTGCGTGATTATGAAATTGCAAAGAATTTTTGGTTTGTGAGATATGAGTCTCTATTTCGGTTCCTAATGGATATTTCTGTTAACTTCGTAATTATTTTATCAGTGCACTTTTCCTTTATTTTCTTAAATTTTGATTGGGAGGTTATTCATTGAAAAGTATTTGGTTTAATCCGAGATAATGTAGCTGATATGGTACATCCTATTATCAATTGAGGGATCTTTTTTTTTTTTTATTGAGTTGGGTGGAGATTTGTTTTGTAAATATTTCCTTTTGATGCAATTATTGGATTTATGTATTATATTCTAAAAATATGATTAAGTGCTCTACATAAACTATAGTTAGGGTCCTTATTTTTGTTATATATTTTGATTGTTGGTTGGAAAGAGCAGGGCTCTTAGTTATTGAATTTTTTATTTGAAAATTTTGTGGTAGAATTTTGGAGAAGTTTTATTTATAGGAGAAGTTTTGCAAAAATTTCTACACAAATATTAATGCATTTGTTTGAAGAAAAAACATTAAGAATGTTCTAAATATAATACAAGTGTAAATATGATTTTAAAAATAAATTTTTTTATTGAATTAAGGATTAAGGGATGTGTGTTTTATGTATCGATCACTCTCATACTTTAGGGTATGACATGTACATATAAAATTCAAACTTTTATATGAATTATTGAAATAACCCTTTTCCTTATACATGTACATATAGATAATAGCTTGTGAAAATTTTAAGTCATGAATAAATAAAACCTATATTATATTATTTTCTTTTAGTAAATAATGGATAAATTAAAGACTAGTGTGTTATTTGCATAGAAATTCAGGGAGTTCAATATAAAGATTTAGAGAAAGAGAAGATCTTATTATTACTCAAAGTATGCATAGCTATTATGTATTTTTCAATGAGTGAAATAATATGAGTAATATTGCAATAATAATCATCAATGGAAATTTATTTTTATTAAAATATTATATTTTAGGATATCATCTCAAAATATATCTTATATATAAAACAAGACGAAGGGAGTACATCTCTTAATTTATGTAGAGTTGCCATGTCTTTTCATAATTCATTGATGATATAGATTTTTTGAATAATGAACTCTTAACATATACTTTCTCCATTTAAAAATGTAAGGCATTTTTTGAGGAGTTAAATGTTAAAAAATATAAAGTACTTTTAGTTTTTCGAGGTCTAATCATTATCTTTTTTTCAAAAGTACCCCTATTGATAATAATTTTATATTTATTGTAGGGTATTTAATAGGGTAAATATGAAAAGATATGGTGAGTTAAAAAGTAGGTAATTATTTTATTGAGAGGTAAAATTTATTTAAAAATGTTTTATATTTTGAATGGATGGTGTATATATTTTTCTTCTTATCTTTGTAGATTCACGGATGGCTATCTTATCTTACATTTCCCCCCCAAAAAAAAAAAATCTGGGGGCAATTAGGTAATTCCAATGATGCATTTATATTTTATATGGGGCCAGTTTAATAGCTAATTCCAACGTCCATCATACACACATGGTCTCCATTTATAGACACAGTGCGTGACATTAAATTCCTCAATAAATTCTTGACGGACATGAAATGAATTTAGTCCTTTCTTGACCCTATCAAAAGAAAATTAACGTGTAAAAGAAGAATTATTTGTTTACAATTCCATGAAAATTTCATAGAAATTTATAACTTCAATTTCTATATTTGTAATTACTTTAGGGACAAAAATACTATACTAAATAATTTAGGATGCAAGGTGCTTCTTCGAGAATACTTTAGAGGTAAAAATACATCTTTACTCATTAATCAAACACAAGTATGTCATGATCACAAGTCCTCTAGGTAAAATTCACTCTCAAAAGACACATCGTAAGGGAGGGTTATTAGATTTTTTTATATTAAGTATGTTTAAGGATAATATATCTTACCAAAATAACTTAAGCCATTTAGTTAAATATTTTTTAAATTTATATTTTTGTAATCTATTTTATAATTTTTAGATGAGAGACTTTTTTTATATTCTAATATTCCATCTATTACTTTTTTTCTCATTTTTTATTTTCTTCTTCTTCTTGCTTTGGCTTGTACTTTTTGTGGTTTTAGAGACCTCAAGTCTTATATTAAGTATGCTTGAGAATCAGATCTATTCAATTTCTTCTTCTTCTTCTTCTTCTTCTTTCTTTTTTTTTTTAATCTCTTGGTTTTCTTTTTTAATTTTTCATTCATTCTTTTTTTCTTTTTTTTTCTCTCTATTTTTTTTGTCCCTGATGAATGGCTCTAATATCATGTGAGATTTCTTATATTAAGTATGCTTAAGGATAATATATTTCACTAAAATAGCTTAGGCTATTTAGTTAGATATTTCCTAAGCTTATATATTTATGATCTATCTTCTAATTTTTAGATGTAGGACTTCTTTTATACTCTAATAAGGGTGCCTAGCTAACTTATAAACCATACTCCATCAATATAACCTCTCGATATGGGACTCATAACAAAATATCTTCATCTTTGTAACATACCATTTTTTTTTTGACTAAAAACTGAAATTCATTCAAGAGACTGAAAAGAAACATAGTACAAGACCTTAAGACTAGAAAAGAAGAGAGCAATCAATCATCATTTACCTCCTATCCTAAAGTAAGGTGGGGGATGATCAAAGATGTAAAGAGGTCTCTCTATCAAATGAGCTTCCTTAGCAAGGTAGTGAGCATGACTAACAATATCTCTAAAGAGAAAGTTTAAAGACAAAGACCACTCCCTAAGAAGACATTACAAGCATTTTGAATAATTTCATGACAGGGATGATTTTTATGGTGACCTGTAGTGATGAAGTTGATGGTTTCCACACTGTCTAAGTAGACCTCGATATGTCTGAAACCATTATACCAACAAAGTTCTAGTCCTTTGGAAATAGCCAAGACTTTGGCAATGGTAGATGGGGTAGCTTCCAAGTTTACAACCAAAACCCATTACACACTCCCCCATATCATTAATAATGCATCCTCTACAAGTAGTTAAACCATTGAGTTTAGAAGACCTATCAACATCGAGGCTGACAAAGCCTAGTGAGGCCTTATGATAGGTATTACCGCAAATATTGTCAAATTGAGAAGATTTCAGTTTACCTATATACTTCTAATCAGCCATGGCTTTGAGGAAACTTCTATTGGAATCTGGTTGAATGAGTTGGGCTTGATCATCAAACAGATTTTTGCATCTTATTGTCCAAAGTTCCCAGCATGTATAAGCAAAGACTATTACCCATGGGAGTTTGGTTATATTATTGTTTCCTGGGGAGTTCTTTAAGTTCCACTTGATCCATTCAAGGCATTCATGTTGTGAAAACTCAGGCCATAACTGTTTTCGTTGTCTATCTCCATGCTTCCTAGGCTAATCTACAGTCATGAATGATATGCATTGCATCCTCCTCTTTTCGCACCCAAAAGGACAGGCATTTGTATTAGCAATACTCCTTTTCTCCCTTAAGCTTGCTGTGTGCAATTTATTTTTCCCCAATAACTAGATGAAAGCTTTGATCTTTTCTGGGATGTTCTACTTCCACATTTCCTTTCATATTTTGTCCTTCCCTTGTGATGTACTTGCAAAAAGAAAATCATAGGCAAAACTGATATTAAAAGAGCCATCAGTAGATGGCTTCCACACATATTTGTCTTTCCCTCTCATCTCACAGGGTTAGTGTTAGTGATTCGATTCAAAGCAGAGTAATGAAGGCAGCTCATCATTTTAGTGCGATCCTAAGAGCCATCTACATCGATGAAGTGCTCAATATTCATCTCACGGTCTAAGGGTCTGTTGTTATTTTGAATGAAGTTAACCAAGGGCATATTCATAGCAGACTAGTTATCACACCAGAAATTAGATAACCTTCCAGGAATACAGCACTTGTCAATACCATTGAGGAAGGTGTCCCAAACTTTATGGATACTTCTCCACATCACAGAGGATTGTCTTCTCCAACAAACTAAAGGTACGATGTTGGAGCCACATTTGAATTTAGATTTTAGGATTTAAACCCATAGCACATCATTATTACATACCAAGTTCCAACAAAGTTTCAACATAAAAGCTTGATTTTGGCAGGATAGATCTTTAACCCCCAATCCACCTTCATCAGAATGTCTCTTCACCATATCCCATGAGACTAGATAAACTTTTTTCTCATTTTCCGAACTACCCTAGAGAAAAGATGATAGGGACGCGGAAGCAGAATCGTGCTAGTTTAGGGACAGAACCCTGAAACAACAAAAACACAAGAACAAAAAGAAAGGGACGAAATTTATGACGGAAATAAAGAAAGGTATGAAGTAAACAATAGGATAATGATCAAGGAGAAGATCCTCTAGAGCACTTGTCTCTAGGAACCTCAACCTTCGAAGACACCACAAGAGTTGATCACGCTCTTGATCACGTCGGTTTCTCACACGGGATACCACCACAAAGCACTAAGGCTCATAAGAGTTATAAACTCTAAAATGAATAATTTCATTCAACTTCTGTGTTGTTTACAATAGGGAGCATGCCTAATTTATATAGGCTCATAGAAAAAATATTTCCTAAAATTAAAACCCTAATTTCCTAATACTAAAAGGAGAAATAATGATAAAATATTCAGCCATATAATTTAAGAGATGTGATCCTAAAATTATGGGATTACAAAATTTAGAAATTAATATTATAATTAATTCTAACCTTTGACTAGACTCAAAATAGAAAATCAAATCAAAGGACCATTAAAATAGGAAATAATTTAGGAGACAATAAAGGGATCATAAAGGATTTGAAATCACGCCACCCTTAACTTCTTTACTAGGGTTTCATGCCTCCTTGCATGCGAGAGGCTCAACTTGTAGTCTTCCTTGCATTGGGCTAAGGTCTGCATCTCTTGGGCTTGACTCTTCATGAGTTTGGATCTTAAATACATTATACTCGTATAGATGCTCTCCTTTGGACTTGAGGGGAGTGCCCCAATGCTCTCCAAGCTCTTGAACTTCTTGCACAAGACTGAACAAGGCTTGCTTCATGGCTTTGGTTCGGGCTTTTATCATTGGACCTCCAATATGTTGCAATGGGTTTTTAGGTACGTTGGATTGGAAGTATTGGGCTCCTTCTATGTCACCATGCTCATGATTACCATCCTCAGGCTTCGTTGCCATTAATGCTATGTCACCCGTGCCATGGGGTCCATCATTCCCTCCCAGTTGGAAAGGATTCGTCCTCGAATCTGCAGAATCATATAAAGATAAATCAGAAACATTAAATGTGGCACTAACATTGCCATAAGAGCTAGGCAAATCAATCTTGTAAGCATTATCATTAATTCTTTCCAAAACTT